CCTCGCACTCCCCTCCTCCCCCTCTCCCCTCCCCTCACCATCCCCCTCTCCTTCCTCCCCTCTCCCTCCCTCTCCCCCCTCCTCAACAAACCCGCCGCCCTGCCCCGCCCCTGCAGCGAGGGCCTGCGCGGCCGCGCAGCGGCGCCGGGCCCGGCGCGGCCTGCTGGCGCTGAGGGAGGCGCGCCGCCAGCGGCTTTGCCCGGCCCCCCTTTTTGGGGCTCGTTGATTTCGATTCGATTTCGATTTCGATTTCGATTCGATTCGATTTTGGCAAGGGCTGTGAGAGCAGGCTACCCCTGTCGTGCAGCAGATCTCCACCGTCATCACAGCATCGAACAGCACGACCTGTCTCGTCTGACCGTAGGTCCCTCATGTGGAGCGTTCCAAAAAAAAGCCTCGCCTTCGAGGAAAACCAGAAGGAGTTGTCATCTCTTCCGCCGCGGAAGGCGACGGAAGGGCGGCGGAAGGTCGGCGGCAGTAGAACGAGGCCCCCTCCGCCGGCGGAAGGCCAGCGGAAGTAAAACATATACCCCCAAGAGATGGAACCGTTTTTGGGTTCAGGGTTTCCGAAATCGCCCCTGGCCAGCGAATCGAGTCGCACCGAATCGGATCGTGGGCGGCCTTGTCGCTGCCTGCCCCCCTCCCCTCGGAGGAGACGACGGGCCATGCAGCGAACAACCTCGCTGGGGGCGCCGACGACGATCGTCGACGACGACGACGACGACGACGACGACGACGACGACGACGACGACGACGACGACGACGACGACGACGACGACGACGACGACGAGCGAAGGCCTCCAGAGATCTCAGGAGGCGCTGGCCCTTTGGAGGCTGGCGGCCGCCGCCGCCCAGGGGCGGCGGGCGTTTGGTGCTCCGCCGGCGCCCCCCCCCCCGCCCGGCAGGCACTGGCCAGGGTCTCGGCTGGCGAGGCTCCTCCGCGCGCGCGCGCCGCGGCCGCGGCCGCGGCCGCCGCCGTCGGCGGCGGCGGCGGCATCGGCGGCGGCGGCGGAGGGAAGGGCGGGGGGCGCGGGGAGGGGCGAGGGGAGGCGTGGGAGGGGGGGAGGGGGAGGGGACGGGAAGGGGGTGGGAGAGGAGGTGAGGGGGGGGAGGGGGAGAGGAGACATGGAAGGGGCGGTGGTGGAGCGGGGGAAGAGGGGGGGGAAGGAGGAGGAGGAGGAGGAGGAGGAGGAGGAGGAGGACTTGTGCAGACCTGGGACGCACCAACGATGCTGCAAGAACCCCTTCCTCCAAGCTTTCTGCTTGTAGGCCCCTACAGGAATGTATCTCAACTGTTGGAAGTGATCCGATGGAAGGCAACCGTCTGAGAGTTCTTAACTATGCCAAAACACGAGTCCTGGGATTTCAACGCCACGAACCAACTTTACTGCTTCGTCCTGACGATTCTGAATCGCGCCAGAACGCTACTTCTGGGACTTCAACACAGCGAACTAACGTGACTGTTGCGCCGTGACAATCATAAATCGTGCCAGAACATTATTCCTGGGACGTCGGCAGTAATTCTCCGCTAAGACGAAAGCGCGCAGCGCTAAGGCGAGACCAGCATTTTGGAAAAGAGCCGTCCTCCATCCGTTGAGCTCTTGCACTTTTTAAGACGCGTGCGAACGTCGCTACGGCTAGAGCCACATTTTGAAAACGGCCCGCCCTCCATCCGTGAAGTTCTTGCGCTTTTCAAGACGAACGTGCGCGGCATTGCGGGGAGAGCCGCATTTTGAGATTCACCCGCCCTCCATGCATGAAGCTCCTGCAACCTTTTAATGCGAATGCGCGTGGCGCAATGCGAACTTTTACAACAAATGTGCGCGGCGCCTAGGCGAGAGCCACATTTAGAAAACGGCCCGCCCTCCATCCGTGAAGCTGTTACAAATTCGACGCTTCAGGATCGGACATGGCCCGCCCTACCGGCATGTCTCCGGGGGCGACAGAAAGGACCTATATATATATATATACAGAAACGCGATGGAGGAGGACGCGGTGGCGGTGGAGGATGGGGAGTACTGTCCTCCGTCTTGTCGCCTCCTCGATGTCGTAGTCGTAGTGGTAGTCGCACGTGTAGTCGGAATCGCACTCGCAGTTACCTAACAGCGAAGACTGATCGGTTTCTTGTAGGGTCAAAAGAGAGCATCATGACTCCCCAGGGGGGTCTGGGCGGGATCCGGACAAGTGCCCCGGGAAACAGGTGATTTTTTTTAGCCAACAGTAACGCACTTCGTGTTCTTCGAGTTCCCAGAACTCCATTCCTGGGCATGATCTTGAATGCCCGGAGCCAACTGTAGGCCACTTCGTGTTCTTCGAGTTCCCATAACTCCATTGCTGGGCATGATTTTGAATGCCCAGAGCCAACTGTAGGCCACTTCGTGTTCTTCGAGTTCCCAGAACTCCATTCCTGGGCATGATTTTGAATGCCCGGAGCCAACTGTAGACCACTTCGTGGTCTTCGAGTTCGCAGAACTCCATTCCTGGGCATGATTTTGAATGCCCGGAGCCAACTGTAGGCCACTTCGTGGTCTTCGAGTTCGCAGAACTCCATTCCTGGGCATGTTTTTGAATGCTGAGGCAGGCTGATGCTGAGGCTGAAGCAGGCTGAGGCTGAGGCAGCCTGAGGCTGAGGCCGAGGCTGAAGGCAGACTGAGGGAGGCTGAAGCAGGCTGAGGCTGAGGCTGAGGCAGGCTGAGGCTGAGGCTGAGGCAGGCTGATGCTGAGGCAGGCTGAGGCGGAGGCTGAGGCAGGTTGAGGCTGAGGCAGGCTGAGGCTGAGGCCGAGGCTGAAGGCAGACTGAGGCTGAGGCTGAAGCAGGCTGAGGCGGAGGCTGAGGCAGGCTGAGGCTGAGGCTGAGGCAGGCTGATGCTGAGGCAGGCTGAGGCTGAGGCTGAGGCTGATGCAGGCTGAGGCTGAGGCAGGCTGAGGCTGAGGCCGAGGCTGAAGGCAGACTGAGGCTGAGGCTGAAGCAGGCTGAGGCTGAGGCTGAGGCAGGCTGAGGTTGAGGCAGGCTGAGGCTGAGGCTGAAACAGGCTGAGGCTGAAGCAGAGGCAGCCAGGCATGCATGCTGAGCTGCGGGCCCTGAGGCAGGCTGAGGCCTGAGGCTGAGGCGTATAGCAAAAAATGAGGTGAGGCTGAAGCAGGCTGAGGCTGAGGCTGAAGCAGGCTGAGGCTGAGGCAGGCTGAGGCTGAGGCTGAGGCAGGCTGAGGCTGAGGCTGTGACTGCGACTGCCGTTGCCACTGCGACTGTCATCGCGAATGCGACTACGACTGCGAGAACAGCAGATTTCTACAGCTGGATTCTCATCTGAATCTTAAGGGGAATGCTTCCAGACATGCTCCTACACATCGCTGTTAGGTTGCTTTGCCGGGATAATTGCTGTAGTCGTAGTCCTAGTAGTGCTCGTAGTCGTAGTCGTAGTGTTAGTTGTCGCTGTAGTGGTCGTAGGAGGAGGAGGAGGAGGAGAAGAAGGAGGAGGATGAGGAGCAGCAGCAGGAAGAGCATGAACAGCAGCAGCAGCAGCTGCACCAGCTGCACCAGGAGGCGTGCGCGGCAAAGAACGGGGTGACACAATAAAGGTCAAGCACTTTGCAATTGCGGCTTCCACGAAGCCAGTTCAGAAGAGGCCGCCTGCAACACGAGTGGCGGCCTGTCGATTCCGATCGCAAGTAGCTTACCGCCAGCACCAACGTCAAACTCTAGCAGACTGGTGAGCACACTGCATTCCAACCTGAGCCGCTGTCCCATCACTGGTGCACCCAGGCTCGATGTCTGCATCGCCTCGTCGAGGGCGCACGAGCAAACCGCTAAGCGAGGTTGAACAGCGTCGCCTGTAACTCCCGCCAGCAAACCAAATTAAACGGCCATGGCCATGTACCGACCACAGTGAACGGCCATGGACAAATTGCTCCCAACGATGTGCATTTATTTGAAGATACATCGAAGTGTGTCCCTGATCTTGTTTTTGATCGAATTATTGTCATGATTTCGCCATCGGTGCCCAAGTTAGGCAAGGCATGCATGGTGACCAACAGTTATTCCTGGGCCTTGAACAGCTTGTGAGAGCGGAGATATGTTGCTGTCAAGCATTACTCGTTTCTCGCCTCCCACAATTTGTGATTAGGCACTCATATTCTCGGGCGATGTTATTCGCGAGCCCAGTTGCATGATGCATCGGATTCGCAAAGACGGCGGTTCTGTCGGCCGGTCTCTGCCATTCGCTTCTGTTACCTCGTTGTCGCCTTTTTGTCGCAAGCCCTGGCCATCAAGGCCAAGCGCTGCTCGTCTGCCAACCCCAGCGGCCGGGTGTGGCTCGCGGTTGCGGTTGGAGCCCGGCTGCGCAGAGCGCCGCCGTCGCCCTTCCTCGAACGAAGGATTGCAAAAAAACCGAAGGATTGCAAAAAAAAACCGAAGGATTGCAAAAAAACGAAGGATTGCAAAAACAAAAACCCTCCTCGGGTGCGGGTGGACGACGGTCGTCCCCAGTACGGTGGGGGCGTTCGTTGAGGAATGTGCCCAGGGGGCTTCAGACTCTAGAGGGTTCCTTGTCTGATGAGGTCGGCAGTGATGTCCATGGCCAGTCTACGATTGGTGTTCCACCAGCTTCGAGACCCTGGATTCCTTATCCAATGGTTCCTTATCCAATGCCCTCACCGTGCGCACGGCGACCAATTGTACTTTTGAAGTCGGAACAAGAACGACAGCAACACGGTCGTCGGCATCGCTACCGGTTGCAGCGGCCGGTTGATGCAGGCGGCTTGTATAATTCGATATAATTCGGATCGGCCTCGGACTCGGTCCGTAGTCGTTTTGGATCAGGATTTCCCCTACGCAGCTTGATGCAAGTTTCAAGTAGTATGAATGTGTTTGTGCTTTCGGTTGCTCATCCTCCTCACGTGGGCAACGCGTTTCGCAGCAGGTCGCACATCTTTGTACACATGCAAGACCTCTTCGGATTGCTCTTTGAACGGCGATTGTGTTAAAGGTGTGTGCAAATGTGATGCGCCGTGGACAGAGGAACCAACATGCGACGTGTTGGCAGTCCTCCCTGCAGAAACACATGCTTGGTATCGCAACGAGTCTGCTGCATCCTGGGGTGGCAACGCACTTTTCGAAGATGGAAAGTACCACCTCTTTGTCGCGGAGATGGTCAATCATTGTGGGTTGGAAAGCTGGGGGACGAATAGTGCGATCGTCAGGGCTGAGGCGGCATCTCCAGCAGGGCCATTCGTGCACCGTGAGGTTGTCCTCGCACCGGAGGCTCACAATCCCACTGTGCGGCGGATTCCCAGAGGCAAAGGATTTGTTATCTTCTTCACCGGTGCAGGTGGATCCCAAAACATACCCGCGTGCGGAAGTGCAAGTGGACCTGGCATCGACAGGGCATCAGCAAAATTAGCAAGATCGGATCACACCCGCATGTCTGCATCGGTGTCTGGATCGGTGTACGTTCTGTTTTCGCGAAGTATTTACGGACCTTGGACAAGCCCAATCAAAGTCGAGTTCGAAGAGGACAACGTTACTGATTGGGGTGCGGGCTTTTCGAATCCATCACCTCACATTGCAGGAGACGGTACCGTGACGCTTGCCTTGCAGAGGAGGTTCAACCCAAATCCTGGAAAAGAGCTCTTGGGGGTTGCAAGGGCTTCCTCATGGCGTGGTCCATTCCGAATGATAACACCAAAGCCCGTAGAACCAGAAAAGTGGTTCTGTGTGGCTGGAACAGGCGAGGACCCTTTCTTGTGGCGAAGCCAAAGGGGCTGGCACATCATCTGGCATGGTATGTGCCCAACTGGTGTTGTCCAGGCGCGCTATGCATTCTCGAATGACGGCGTTCATTGGACAGTATCGTCTCGCCAAACTTACAGCTACACGGTTCACTTTGCCGATGGCTCCAAGCATTTGTTTGCGCGCGTTGAGAGACCTCAGCTTTTCTTCGAACCAGGCAGTGATAACAGTGACTTTGAAGGGAGACCATCGCACTTGTACAATGGTGTTTGCTGGGGCGGCAACCTGTATGGCATTTACCAGTGCTTGGAGTTGCAGAAGGGGCCCGTGATGACTTGGACATTAGTTCGGCCTTTGAAGGCATCTGCCACCCAAGCCATCGCATATGTCTAGGGACGGGGACTGCTCGCTTCTGGCAGGTTGACGCGCTGTTTTGTTTATATTATATGCTTGTATGATGATTTCGTGAGTGGCCCGCGTAGCCCATAATCAACGTAAAAGGGAAACGAACAGCCTCGGACTAAGACGTGATCTGCATTGTCAACGGATCCCTCTGGCGAAGCATCCACCGGATCTCTCTCTCTCTCTCTCTCTGTCTCTCCCCGTTTGTGCTACCGATTGTTGGTCAGTGTTTGGTAACGAAGTGTCTTGGTGTATCCCACTGCCTGCCTAACACATCCTCCATCTTTCCACCCCCTCCCTTCTCCATTAGTGCCCTTGCTTCTCTCTCTCTCTCTGCTCCCCTGGCTCCAAGTGTGCTGTGAGATCTGCTCGAGTAGACACATCAGCTTCTTTGTGTACACCTTGTTAATTTCTAGTTCTTCGAAGGTTCTCTGGTTTTCAGGGGGGTAAGATCCTTTCATTTCTAATTGTTCGAAAGAGCGTGTTCTACCGCTGCTGGTGGAAAACCGGGGGGGGTCACTACCGGTTCGAACCCCTCCCCCCCCCCCCCCCTCCGGAAAACCGGGGGGGGTCACTACCGTTCGAACCCCTCCCCCCCCCCCCAGCTCATCATGAAAAGGGGGGGGGGTCACTACCGGTTCGAACCCCCCCACCCCCCCCCCTCGAAAACCGAGTGGGGGTGCGGACAGTGGTGGGGGCGGTGTTGGTGGGGACAGTGGTGACGGGACAGCGGGACAGTGGTGGGGACAGTGGGGGAACAGTGGGACAGCGGTGGAGACGGTAGTGGTGGGGACAGTGGTGGGGACAATGGTGGGAACAGGGGGGACAGTGGACAGTGGTGGGAACGGTGGCGGTGGTGGTGGGGACAGTGGTGTGGGGACAGTGGGAATGAGGTGGAAACATTGGGACAGTGGTGGGTACAATGGTGGTGGGGACACTGGTAAAGGCGTCGGCGAGGACGGCGGTGGGACAATGGGACAGAGGTACAGTGGGGACAGTGGTGGGGACAGTGGGGACAGTGGTGGGAACAGTGGGACAGCTCAGTGGGACAGCGGAGGAGTCAGTGGGACAGTGGGGACAGTGGGGATAGGCAGTGGTTGGGTCCGTGGAGACAGTGGGGAGAGTGGAACCGTGGTGGGAACAGTTGTGGGAACAGTGGGGACAGTGCGACAGTGGTGGGGGCACTGGTGGGGACAATAGGGACGGTGGTGGAACCAGCGGGGGCAGTGGTGGTGAGGACAGTGGTGCTGGGAACAACAGTGGGGGATGTCATGCGAGCGGTGGTAGGGACCGGGAGTCGTTTGCTGGCGGTGCGTGGGGGGGAGGGGGTCGAACCGGTAGTGACCCCCCTCCGGTTTTCGAGAGGGGGGGGGGGGGTTCCACCCGTAGTGCCCCCCCTCGGTTTTCCCGATCCGGACGCCTGAGAGGGGGGGGTTGGGAGGGGTTCGAACCGGTAGGTGACCACCCCCCGTTATTCGAGAGGGGGGAGGGAGGGGAGTGTGGGGGGGGAGGTAGGGTTTAGGTGGGGAGGGGGTGGTTTTTTGCCGTAAGGGAGGGGGGGGGGGAGGTGTTTCCAGCAGGGGTGCAGGCGGGGGATTTTCGGAGGGGGGGGGGGAGACCCCCGGGCTCCGGAGGAAAAGGTTGGCAATTTTCCACAGTAAAGCGGCGGTGGATCACGCTCTCTCAATTGTTCTGTCCTGGGCCTCTTCCTGGCCACTATGTGGCCAGGAACAATTAGAAACGAGCACAATTAGAAATGAGCACGACTAGAAATGAACGACGTGTAGTGAACAGACAGGCGACACGTCGGTGGATTGCCGACGGGATGGGGACGAGACGTGCTCGGTGGGATGGCGTGGAGATGCGCCGCAGTGATGGGCGCACGGCCTCGGGCACGGAGGGGTCCTGCAGGGCGCCGCAGGGGCAGGGCCGATCCTTGCCATGCCGGCAGGCCCCCGAGCCCGCAGATTGCCCAGCGGCTCGCCCTGGGGGAAGCGGGTCCTTAAAAAAAACGGGTCCTGAGGTTCCTCGCCGTGCTCGGGCCCGCGAGGTCTTCCACGGGCCCCCGGGGGTGTCCGAGAGCGACGCCGGTGGAAGACCTCGCTTTGGGGGCAGGCCCCAGGGTCCAGGATCCGGCTCGCTCGGGACCCGCCTTTAGCCTGCTCTTTTGTGTTTTTTTGTTTATTGCTTTCTGTTCCAACAAGAAAGGTCTGGGCGGTAATTAGCGGCCGTGATCGGCCCTCTCCTTCCCACCCACCCCGGATCACGTCACGCTATTTTGCCCACGTCTGCACAGATCCCCTGCGGATTCTCCGAGGACCTCCTGAGATTTCCGGCGGTCCCCCGCTGTGATGTGATCGGGGGAAGCGGGGGCGACCCTTTCCCCCCTCCCCCGATCACGCCCCGTATCGCGAATCAAAATAAGCATGCTCTTGCCAGGAGGCAGCTCCTTGGAGGTGAAGCTCAGCATCGCCGCTGGTACATCCGTGGCCGATAACTGGTCGAATCCAGCCGAATCCCGTGTAACCCCGTTGAACCACGTGTCATACCTTCTGACCAGGCTGATCAGGCACAATCCCAGGAAGAATCTGGGACAATCTTGAGCAACGGCCTCGGCTCAAGCCTGCTCAATGGCCTTGGCTCCATCGCTCTCTCCCCCCTCAATCCTGCTCAATGGCCTAGCTCAATCCCTGAGATCCGACGTAGCGAAAAATGGCAACATCACCATCGTCAAAAATCACGCCCGGAGCCCTAGACCCCAACTTCTGCGACACTTTTCGAGCCGGATCGGTTTGTGAGGGTCCCAGGGGCCCGAAGCAAGGCGACAATGGCTGGCTCGAAAAAGTTGAGAGACGCCAGGACTTCAGGGTACGCCTCCTCCGACCCCTCCGGAGGCAGGGCAGCTCTGCGGAAAGCCCCCCTCCGCCCGCAGGGCGCGGGTAGGCGGTGTGCTCTCCTTTCTGTTGCATCGTGTCTGTCTTTGTCTGTCGCGTCGCGGCCCTGTCCGCGTCCTTTCGATGGACTCTGTCTGTCCCGTCGCGGCCCTGTCCGCGTCGAATCCGTTTCGAGTCCATGTCGGCCTCCGCGGATGTGTGTCGGCTGCGTCCCGAATCCGCGTCGACTGCACGCCAAATCCGCGTCGAGGCCGCATCGATCCCGCGTCGGGCAGAAGAAATGACACCAATTTGGGGGACAGGCGAGGCCCCCCGAAGATGCAACTGAATGAGCCCAGCCCCCCCCCCCTCCTCCCCCCCTCCTCCCCTCCTCCCTCCTCCTCCTCCTCCTCCTCCTCCTCCCTCCTCCTCCTCCTCCCTATCCTCCTCCTCCTCCTCCTCCTCCTCCTCCTCCTCCTCCTCCTCCCCCATCTCCCTCCCCTTCCTTCTCCTCCTCTTCCTCCTCCTCTCTCCTCCTCCTCCTCCTCCTTCTCTGCTCCTGCCCCTCATTTCCCTCCTCCTCCCCTTCTCCTCCTCCCCCTGCTCCTCCCCCTCCTTCCCCTCCCCCCTCCCCCCTCTTTCTCCTCTTCCTCCTCCTCCTCCTCCTCCTCCTCCTCTCCTCCTCCCTCCTCCTCCTCCTCATCATCATCATCATCATCATCATCATCAGCACATCATCATCATCTCATCATCATCATCATTCACATTCTCCTCCCCTCTCCCCTCCTCCCCTCCTCGCCCTCCTCCTCCTCCTCCTCCTCCTCCTCTCCTCCTCCTCCTCCTCCTCCTCCTCCTCCTCCCCATCTCCCTCCACTTTCCCTCTCCTCTCTCTCCTCTCCTCCTCCTTCCCGCCTCCTGCCCTCTTCTTTCCCCTCACCTCCTCCTCCTTCTCCTCCTCCCCCTGCTCCTCCCTCCCCCTCCTGCCCCCTCCTCCCCTCCCCCCTCTTTCTCCTCCTTCCTCCTCCTCCTCCTCTCCTCCTCCTCCTCCTCCTCCTCCTCCTCTCCTCCTCCTCATCATCATCATCATCCATCAACATCATCATCATCATTCTCCTCCCACTCCTCCCCCTCCTCTCCTCCTCCTCCTCCTCCTCCTCCGTCCTCTCCTCCTCCCCCTCCTCCTCTCTACTCCTCCTCCTCCTCCTCCTCCTCCTCCTCCTCCTCCTCCTCCTCCTCCTCCTCTCCTCTCTCCTCCTCTCCTCCTCCTCCTCCTCCTCCTCCCCCTGCTCCTCCTTCTCCTCCTCCTCCTCCTCCTCCTCCTCCTCCTCCTCCTCCTCTTCGAGGCCGAGGAACTGTGGAGCACATCTGTGTTCCAGAGGAGTTTGTACGAGCTGTC